CTTAGCGAGTGTGGTGCGTTTTCTCATGACTGCTACTTTCTCAGTGAAATAAGGTGAGGAAGGGGCTTTGGGCTTTGAGGAGAGGTGTGAAATGGTCATCCACGATTTGAGGGAGTGAACGGGCAGGAGAGATGTAACTGGGTAAGCAGGCACCCGGAAAATGAATGGAGAAATCTTTTAATTCATGGCATCGCGGGGGTGAGTGGCCGTGAATTTGGAGTGAAGCCGTCACTGTGGTGGTATTTTCCTGCAGCCCCACTCAGTTCTATGACGCGGGCATGGAGCAGGTGTTCAGGGAGCTGACTTTTCAATATCAGAGGAAGATGATGAAGAGAGAGACGTGCAAAGGACCAGAGCATGTTGTTCCGGGTGTGATTATAATGATGGGCGGGTAAGAAGTGGACAGCAGTCACGACGGGGCTGAGGGACTGCGAAAAGGTGGCAGTCCCTCCGTTCCATTTCCGATGGAATGGAATGTGCGTGAGGTGGAAGAATAGTTTACGTCAGACTATGGCGGGGAGGGGGTGGGGAGCTGGAAATGACAGTGGGATACTTTGAACTGAGATTATGGAAAGGCTGCAGGGAGGTTGAGACACCAGGACAGTCACCTCCGTGGATCGTGACATCACCAAGAGAGTATCATGACTCTCCCCGAGGGGAGATCACACTCGGTGAGTTCGAAGAGGCCGATGCAGCTGGAGACGATGTGGGGTCGAAGGCAGAGGAAGCAGGGGTGGAAGATGGGGTTCGAGGGGGAGCTGGGAGCCAGGTCACAGAGCGCCTTGCAGGCCCCCGTGAGCCCCTCCCTTGGACTGTCTTTGAACCGTCACAGAAAGCACATGGACAGTTCTGAGCAGAGGAGCGACATGAGCGGACCTGCTGTCCCTGGGCAAGTTTCTTCGCCTCCTGCTCTCATGACAGTCTTACATGAAAGGGAATAATTATACTTTTCTTTCAGGACTGTCATGAGGATTTGAGAAATCAAACAGGCATCTAGAAAGTTCTTCGCACCATGATGGGAACTCTTGGTATAACTGCTGGGTGCCTGCCTTGTGCCAAGCTGCAGGGAACATGTGGTGTCTGCCCAGCGGCAGAAGGCGATGAGTAAAGCCGCTGACCTGGGCTGCGGTACTAGCTCTCCATGACTTTCTGAGTGACCGTGGCCAACTCCTTTCTCCTCACAGGATCTTAGGGTGCCCAGGTGAAAAACGGGAGGAAGAAGAAGCCAGGTGAACTAGATGATTGTCAAAGTTCCACCCAGATCAGATGTCGGCTCCATGGCCCTATCTAGGTGAGACAGTCAGATATATAAACTATAACATGAGCATCAGTGAGCAAACCAAAGACAAGACCAGTCAGTCCTTCCAACTGGAGTTACTCGAGAAAACCTCTTGAAGGAAACGGAGCTTGGGTGGACTATGGGTAGAAGAGGGAAAAGCATGTGGAAGGAGCTAGAAATGGGGCTGGGGTGGGAAGCTGGGGTCAAGCTACAGGGGAGCCTTCGCTATCAGGTGAGGACTTTGGAATTCCTTTGTACTCAAGAAAGTAACGGCATGAGGAAAACTCAGAGTTTTGCTTGGTGCCCAGACTTAAAAAGAAATGATGGTAAGTCAGCGTCACAGGGTGGGTCACTGGTATCCAATGGCCAGCTGGGACTTGGTGATGGGAAGTCAAGTAGCCATAAAAACAGAGCAGATACAATAAAGCCATGTGCATTAAAATTTTTTTAAATAAAAATACAAGTTTAAAGAGCAAAGATTTTCAAAACAGGTAGCTCATCAGAGATGGGGGGTAATACTGAATACCTACTGTGTGCCCACACAGTGCGTGGGCGCTGCCCAGATATTGTTATTGATCCCTATTATAAATATGACAAGGGGAAACCTTCTTATCCCCGTGTTACAGATAAGGAAACTGAGGCAGTGAGTAACGTCCACAGTGCTGGCTAGTGGGGGACATTTGAACTGCTCCATCTGATTCCAAAGCCCTTCTCCCTTCCTCCATTCAAAACATGGTTTATTTTGTGTGTTTTAATCCCAGACAAGTGCCCATCGCCCCGCCAGCGGGACACCACAAGGACACGGAGCACAGGCAGGTGGCCAGCCTTGAGGGACTTTGTTTAGAAGGAGTAGCTGTCCCTACACTGACACCCATGATCCCCACGGTGCCCTGAGCCCCACAGAAAGAGGTGATGAGAGTTGGGGACCTCCCCAGCTTCTGGACACTCCGCAAATTCTCCTGGGACAGGACAACAGGGGAACTTAAAGACGAAAAGGGCCGCAGCTACTGAACCGTTGATGAGCAGGACCGAAGGGTCTAACTGTCAAGAACTTTTTCGGCCTTCGGGCCTCCTTTTGGAGGCGGTTCTTCCCGACGGGGTGAAGTCTTGGGATGGGGTCGTCGTGGGGCCGGGCAGCCAGGCTTGGGCGGAGGCCTGCCTGCGATGCTCCCGGAACCACGCAAGGAGAACCGAGCCGGGCCGCCGCCCCGCG